AATGAAAGTGAGTTATGAAGGTGGCGAAATGGGAACTCTTTATTATGTGTGTTTGGAGTTAATGTTGATAGTTGTGCCCATTGCTGATAGTTCACTAATGTCTTTGATTCTTAACAACATTGCAGATCTTCCCCAGTCTGGGATGTCTTCACTTCATGAGAGGCTGGTTATTTATCACGATGATGTATCGTGGTGAGCATCGGTGATCGGTCTGTAAGGATACAAGAACTATTGTCAGCATATGGTCGATATCTCCGAGTGCAGTATCTTCTTCAACCTTGAAATTGCATGTGTTTCACTGCCTTGGCATATACATGTTTTTTGTTTGCTAAAATGATCAATGTAATTGATGTTGAAGCAATATATTTCTTTTCCTTCTGGAGAAGCCAGTGCATTAGGAGGACTAGGTCAGGAATGGTGTTAGTGGTGGAATGGCTGGTATTCCAATTGCTGATGTGTGAGCGGTCGTCCTGGAATCATTGGTCGAGATATGGTGTCAAACGGTCCCAGTAGGGATTTAGATGATCGTCTCCAGTGGAGACCATGGCTAGGCCAGACCGTGAAACATTACCTCTGCCTCCTGATGTTTCCAACACTCTGTATGTTGAGGGACTTCCTCCAGACACCACAAGGAGAGAAGTAGCTCGTATCCTTTTTGATACATTAGCACTTAGAAATGACAGTGATCTTTGTTTTTTCTATTTCATGCTATCTACTAATATTGCTCACGATTAGTTGTTTTTATTCCTTTACCTCACTGTTTAGATATTTTTTCACCTTTTGTGGGATATAAAGAAGTGAGACTTGTGACAAAGAATCCAAACAGGTAAGTGGACAGTATCCTTTTGCGAACTCTATCAATAACGATCTTTGTAGCTCCAGAATGTTTCAGTTTTAGGTTCTACCTACTATTAATCATTTGTTCAACTTGGTTTTCTTATCATGTTTTTGCAAATAAGTTGTTGGAAGTCTGATGCTTTTCCATACTAAAGCCATGGTTCATTAACAATGCAGCGTGGGAGACCCTCATATCTTTGTTTTGCGATTTGCAAGTCCAGCCTGTGCAGCCACGGCAATGAGTGCCTTGCAAGGTGATTATTCATTCTTCTCATGAATCTTGACAGTTATCCGTGCTACTCAAATTCAGACATTTAAATTTGGAATGGAGATGAATGACGTGGGAAAGTCACGTTAAGGGTGACCTGCTCCCGTCAGGGCAACACGCACACGTCAGACCTGCAAAATAATATGGAGCTCACACGCGTCCATCCTCTGCAGCAAGTCGTGCGAAGTCAGCTTGGAAAAAGGAAAATGGGACGAAAAGCCGGATTATATCCTGACAATCACACCAACCCATGGATTTAATGATGATTACGCGCTTCAGTTTGAAATAAAAAGGAAAAAGACCCCTCCATTAAGGGGATTCGGCCACTCTTTACAGGAAACAACTCTCTCTCTTGTAAAAGAAAACACTTACTTTTCATAACTCTTATGTACGTCAGTCCGCTTCGCGACTTGACCGACACTAATATCAATACAAATCAGTGGACGTAGGATTTGCTACCTTAGCATCCGAACCACTTTAAAAGTCTTCTTTGCATTTATTTCACTTCATTCTTTCCATTATCACGTGTGTTCAATTGGTTGGTGCCGGAAACGAGCATCAACACTTCTAATCTTCACATCGCATGGCATCTTCAAAAGAATATGTCTAAGATCGAAGATGCATGCCCCATGTTCAATTAGGTGAGATTTAGACTTAAAATAATTGTAAAATAAACTGACGATGTGCTTAATTTTTTAACATAAAAATTATTTGACATCTACGTAAATTTCAGGGATCCCACTTCCAGTTTAATTATTTTGTCTACTATAGAAAAAATATTAACCGACATGCCCTACCACCCATTGTTCAACATCCGTCAGCTCTAAATTATAAGAACAAAAATTTAATATATAAACTAATCGGGATAATCACGTGGACGTCCCTATGATTTTAGAAATTGGCACAGATAAAAAATTATTTTGCTTCTACTTTAGAGTTTTGTATCACTGCATTGTTGTGTAAATGATGGTAATCAAAGTTACCGAGGAGGTTAATGATATTATTAATAGTATTTTATCATCAATCAGAATTGTTTCTTTACATAAATTGTTAGGCAGTTAGAGATGTTGCGATTTATTAACTTCTTTTTGTAGTCAATATTTAAATATTATCCTCCATCCTGGGGAACTTTTTCCAATGAAAAATATATATTCGAAATTAATAACATAGTAATAAAATTATACCACAATATTTACTTATTTTGACATAACTTGCTTGCATCCACAGATGAGAGAAATCTACTATAATTTCATAAATATGATATATAAAAGTATACAACATTGTAAATCTGATATATAATTAATAGAGCGGAAACAATCCGGTACATAATCAACATAATATAAATAATCTTAGTTTTTAAGATATTCTACCAATTGTGTTTAATAACTCTTACATCAAATACTTTATGTTCTCATATTATCTGGTATGAATTAGTTTTCACCTCTATATTTATAAGTAATATATGAGACATTATATTTATTCAAATTTCACTTCTTAATAAAACTTTTATAATTCTATTACTATTTACAATTTTATTCTTTATTAAACAATTTTTTGTATAACATACAAATTTATATGAAAATAAATAGCAAAGCGAACCACAATATCCCAACACGTACGCCTTGAGAATAAAGTAGAGGCATTATGGGTTGGCTACTATGACTACATAGGCAATGGCTTGGAATTGGATGATCAAAGGTTTCTCTCAAACATCTTGGTATTAATGTTTATTAGAAGATAAAAAGGAATTTTAGCAAGTGGGAATGGAAAAAAGGGTTGTTATCCAAGTGATATAGCAGATTGGGCCAGAAATTTGTCATGTCGAAATCATTCCTGACACAGAAATCTTTTGGGTTCAATAATTGGAATAGAGAATGATTTAGATGCACTTTTTAAGAGTAAGAGAAACATGAAATGTTGCCTTGCTGCTCTCCAATCTCCGTCACAATACTTATAAATTGACATCCAGTCTAGTTGCTGAAAAAGGATTACTTCACTTCAAATCAAACCTCTTAGTTTTCTTAAAATGGCAAATTCTTATCACTTTTGATTATACAAATTATTATTATTTTTTTAATTATTGGTTAAGAACAGTAAGTTTAAGTCTTTACTGTTTAACTAAGTTTTTTCAATGAGATATTTATTCATCATGATATTGAATCAAAAGTCTTTTAAGTTCGAAGATAGATTGTATATTAGGGATAAAATTCGTTCAGGAAAAAGAGAATGTTCATATATAACTCCGCTTAATAGTCATAATACTTAATTGAACAAAAAAATACACACAGAGAATGAAAACTAAGAAACTTGTGAAATTTAATAAAGTCACATTTAACATTTTGATAATTTATGTGCTTAAAAAAGAAAGGAAGGTATTATGGTAAATCTCTTGGGGGTGTAAATATTTTTATGGGTGCGTTTGTTTTGTTATTTTGGATAAGATTTTAGAAATAATATTGGATAGTTGAATAGGGTGATTATCACGAGGTAAAATTTAAAAATTAACAAAAAAACCTCATAGGTTTGCTAATTTAACTAAACACCCTAATATATAATTTTTTTGTAAAATGACAAAAACACCCCCATCCACTTACAGTGCCAGATTCTGGCCACCACCATCGGAATCTGGTCGGATTTGACCGGACGTACATCGATTTGGTCTTTTTCGGCCAGATCGGTGAATTACTGGCCAGTTCGGGTCGTTTATAGGCCGTTGTGACATATTTCAGCTACCACTGATGGTGATTGCCAGAATCTGGCAACTATGGATGAGTGAAGGTGTTTTTGCTAATTTTTAAACTTGTTTTTAAGGGTATTTAATGAAATTAATAAACTTAAAGGGATAAAAAGTAATTAAAAAATAAAAAAGTATTTCTTAAATAATTAAACAAACAAATATTTTGGGAATAGGAATAATAAACCAAAGCCTAGACTGTTGCTGTTTTGCGAAAATAGTGTAAGGCCGAACGATTTATGCATACCCAAGGTTTGTTGAAACAACAAGTTGGTACCCAAAAGGTTTTGAAACGACAAATAGGTACCTTCCGTCATGTTCTGTTAGTGATTTTCGTTAGATAATAGTGAAAAGACTAAAATGCCCTTGAAAGTTTAATTTTTAGTTTTTTATATATTTAAAAATTTCTAAAAAACCCCCTAGGTTTGCTAATTCGACTAAACACCCCAATATATAAAAATTTTATAAAATAACAAAAACACCCCCGCCACCTGCAGTGCCAGATTCCAGCCACCACCGCCGGAATCTGGCCGGAAAATTGCGTTACGACACAGACCCATCGGATCTGTGTCGTAGCACGTAGATCTTTCATTTTCCGGCAAGATCCGTGGCTGATCTTGCCGGAAAAGACCAGATCTACGGCCAGATCTGGCCGTCGAGACCGGAAGCTTCCCGGAAAAATGTGTTACGACACAGACCCATCGGATCTGTGTCGTAAGATCTGGCCGTCGAGGCCGAAAAAGGCCAGACATAGATCTGGCCTTTTCCGGCCAGATTCCGGCGGTGGTGGCCGGAATCTGGCACTATGGTGGCGGGGGTGTATTTGTTATTTTATAAAATTTTTATATATTGGGGTATTTAGTCAAATTAGCAAACATAGGGGGTTTTTTAGAGATTTTTAAAAAACTAAAAATTAAACTTTTAAGGGCATTTAAGTCTTTTCACTATTATCTAACGAAAAACACTAACAGAACATGACGGAAGGTACCAATTTGTCGTTTCAAAACCTTTTGGGTACCAAGTTGTCATTTCGACAAACGTTGGGTATGTATAAGTCGTTCTCCCAATAGTTTAATAAAAAAAAAAAAAAAATGTAAAAACGCTGCGCAGTGGAAGTGGACAACTAGACAAGTAGTGAGCAGAGCCATAGCAAGAGGAGAGTCCGAGCCCTAGGGTTTTATCAATTTCCAATTATCCTCGCCAAGGTCTCTTCAATTACAGATTTTAAGTTATGGTTTGATTTTAATATTTTTTTTTCTGAAATTGTTTTAATAGTTTTTTAACATATAGAGAAAATTATGGTGGAGGGATACTGGAATCGGCAGCAGGCGTCTCTACTCCCTTCTGGTCCCATGCTTAAACGACCCCGTTCTGATTACAGTAACTTCGTATTTCTTTTCACTTTTCAGAAAAAAATTCAATTCCTTAGTTTATTTTTGTGGCAGTGCGATGATTCTCTAATTTGTTTGATTCTATGGGAGACTACGTTTTTTATTTTATTTAATTTTGAAAATAAATGAAAGTGATTGGGGACAAATAATAAAAATTAACTTTTCTCAGGCAGTCGATAAATATGTCTCAAGATTTTATTTTTTAAATTTTGCTTCCACTTTAGATTTTTGTACTACTGCATTGTTGTGTAAATGATGGTAATCAAAGTTACAGAGGAGGTTAATGATATTATTAATAGTATTTTCCTTTTTTTATCATCAATCAGAATTGTTTCTTTACATAAATTGCTAGGCAGTTAGAGATGTTGCGATTTATTAACTTCTTTTTATAGTCAATATTTAAATATTATCCTCCATCCTGGGGAACTTTTTCCATTTTCAGCTCAAACTCTATTGAAATGAAAGTGAGTTATGAAGGTGGCGAAATGGGAACTCTTTATTATGTGATGTTTGGAGTATGAATGTGTGATAGTTGTGCCCATTGCTGATAGTTCACTAATGTCTTTGATTCTTAACAACATTGCAGATCTTCCCCAGTCTGGGATGTCTTCACGTCATGAGAGGCATGGTTATTTATCACGAGATGATGATCGTGGTGAGCATCGGTGATCGGTCTGTAAAGGATACAAGAACTATTGGATCAGCATATGGTCGATATCTCCAGAGTGCAGTATCTTCTTCAACCTTGAAATTGCATGTGTTTCACTGCCTTGGCATATACATGTTTTTTGTTTGCTAAAATGATCAATGTAATTGATGTTGAAGCAATATATTTCTTTTCCTTCTGGAGAAGCCAGTGCATTAGGAGGAGCTAGGTCAGGAATGGGTGTTAGTGGTGGAATGGCTGGTATTCCAATTGCTGATGGTGTGAGCGGTCGTCCTGGAATCATTGGTCGAGATATGGTGTCAAACGGTCCCAGTAGGGATTTAGATGATCGTCTCCCAGTGGAGACCATGGCTAGGCCAGACCGTGAAACATTACCTCTGCCTCCTGATGTTTCCAACACTCTGTATGTTGAGGGACTTCCTCCAGACACCACAAGGAGAGAAGTAGCTCGTATCCTTTTTGATACATTAGCACTTAGAAATGACAGTGATCTTTGTTTTTCTTATTTCATGCTATTCTACTAATATTGCTCACGATTAGTTGTTTTTATTCCTTTACCTCACTGTTTAGATATTTTTCGACCTTTTGTGGGATATAAAGAAGTGAGACTTGTGAGCAAAGAATCCAAACAGGTAAGTGGACAGTATCCTTTTGCGAACTCTATCAATAACGATCTTTGTAGCTCCAGAATGTTTCAGTTTATGTTCCTACCTATTAATCATTTGTTCAACTTGGTTTTCTTATCATGTTTTGCAAATAAGTTGTTGGAAGTCTGATGCTTTTTCCATACTAAAGCCATGGTTCATTAACAATGCAGCGTGGTGGAGACCCTCTTATCTTTGTTTTGTCGATTTTGCAAGTCCAGCCTGTGCAGCCACTGCAATGAGTGCCTTGCAAGGTGATTATTCATTCTTCTCATGAATCTTGACAGTTATCCGTGCTACTCAAATTCAGACATTTAAATTTGGAAATGGAGATGATTAAGTGGGCATCAAATGCCATCTGCTGCCTTTCTTTGCATATCTGTTATGACTTACTATTTTGCAAGGCATCATAAGTCTTAAAAGGTTGTAATATCTCTAATTGCTGGACTATATTCATTGTCTGACATATATACCCACATCATGAGTTATCTTAAATTTTTAGAGTTTCTGACTTTACAGTTGGATTTATGCGTACCGGTTATAAGATGGACAAAGATGACTCTGGTTCTAGATAATTGCGACTACAGTTCTCTCGGTTCCCAGGCCCAAGGTCTAGTTCTGGAACTCGTGGCAGGAGGTGAATTGTCCCTCGGTTAAACATTAGGGGTACACATATATTTATCTATCTAGATGTTTGTGGCAGTATGCCCGTTGTGGTTAAACTTTGCTGAAACTTAATTTAGATAGCTGAATCCTTCCGCCCTACCCAAATTATGAGCATTTGAGGTGCANAAGCAGGTGATAAAATTGTTGAATGAACTTCATGGGCTAAACAATTGGAACTCAGCTTAAAAGTTAAAAGTTGTGCTCTAATTATCAAACTCTTAAAACAATTGGTAGGTTTTAGATTACTAAGTAATTGCTTATTTAGGGTGTTTGGATATCTATGCACAGCCTATAGGCTCTTGAATATTTACACGAAAAAAGATCAAGGTGATGATTTACTGAATAGTTGCTGTAAATGTTTTGACATTAAGGTTTTTGTTAACTATTTTCTAATTGTTATTCAACAGTTCTAAGCTCCGTGCTAGACAAAAAGAACGGCTAGCACGGAGGAATACAGTTGAAGAATTGCGTCATCTTGAGGCAACACCTGGACCTGAGTTACCTCTACATTTTGCTGCTAATGAGAAAGATGGGGATCGAGTGACTGAATTGGTTCAAGAAGTCAGAGAAAAGTCTTCAGCAATTGGTTTAGAGGATGAGAAAGTCACTTGGCCCTCAGAGGCACCAAAGAGTAAGGGCGACTTAGCTCTAAGGCTGGGTAGGCTTTCAAAACACAAAATGGGCAGTCATTTGGATATTTCTGTCAATTCTCTTGCTCAGCCCTCTCCTGACAATATCCCTCCAAGTCACCATTATCAGGGCACAGGCTATACAAGCACACTTCCTCCCAACAATTTGTTACCGGTTCTGGGGTTATGTGCTCCCAATGCTAGTCAAATAGAATCACATAGAAACTTTTCAAGGTCACATGGTAGACATAGCAAGTCAGCTACTGGACCAGAATTTCCATTTAGTCTAGCTCCTAATTCTGGAACTTCAATTGAGACAGAAGTAAAAGGTCGGGAGGGTACTCCAGACAAAACAAAGTTGCATGATGTGTCAGCTGAAGCTTTACAACATCGTATTAGAGGTAGCATGCCAGATAATCGACTCCCATTTATTCCGGTAACCTCCTTCTCTATAGAATTTTGAATGCTGTTCTCTTATAAAAATATGCTACTCCGTTTATGCATATTTTTGCTTTCTTTTTCTGTGCAGTATCCTCTGCCTTCCTCACATGGAAAAATTTCTGACCGTCTAGAAAGTGCTGCTGCTGCTGCATTTGCTGAATTTCAGGAGAAGTATATGTTACCAAATTTACCTTTTGATGAGAAATTGCCACCTAGATTTCCTTTTCCTGCGACCAGCACAGGAGCTCCACATCATGACTTGTTACCTAGCTTGTCACTGGGGAGCAGACTTGAAGCTGTAAATGACTGCATAAAAGACCTTCCAGCAATGCCTCTCTTGCCAAATTTGAAATTCCTCCCACAAGATGCACCCAGATATAATCAGCAAGAGAGGGAAGTTCATCCCACATTGGGTTTAGGTCAGACACCATCCACATTTTCTTCAATTCCTGAAAATCACCGGAGAGTGCTTGAAAACATAATGATGAGGACTGGGCCTGCTTCCAACATGTATAGAAAGAAACTAAAAGTAGATAGCTGGTCTGAAGATGAACTCGATTTTCTCTGGATTGGAGTTCGCAGACATGGTCGGGGCAATTGGACTGCTATGCTTAGAGACCCCAGAATGAAATTCTCCAAGCATAAAACTCCGGAAGATTTGGCAGCTAGGTGGGAGGAGGAACAGCTTAAGATATTGGACGGTCCCGCTTTTCCAGTGCAAAAAACTACCAAGCCAAGTAAATCTACCAAATCTTCCTTGTTTCCAAGCATTCCTGATGGAATGATGTCACGGGCACTGCAAGGAAGTAAATTTGTCTTGCCGCCAAAATTTCAAGCACACTTAACGGACATGAAATTGGGCTTTTCTGATCTCACCGCTGGCCTGCCAGGTTTTGATCCATCAGAACAAGTTAGTTTGCAAAATGAGCATTTTCCACCCATTCCAACTTGGAATCCTGAAAAATTTCGGGGAAATTTTGTTGGAGATTCTTGTGCTGGACCCTCTGGTAGACCTGGGACTTCTTCAAGTGTACCATTGGAGAAGCCCTTTATGCTCAATTCTTTGGGAGTGAGCAATTTGGGTTCACTGGGTATGAACTCTGGTGGCTCTGATTTACTGAGAAGGGGGGATGAAGACATTTCAGCGAGAAGTGGGAAGTTGCGCAGTCTTCTGGACAGATCTTTTAATATGTTGCGTGACTCCAACAATAATGTGGGAAGTGGTGAATCCACCAGTTCAGGACTTCTCCCTGAACCAAACAAAGGGCTTAACAATTCTCATTCAAAGGGGAAAGAAGTAGTTGGAAGTAGTTCTTCAAAGAACAAACTACCTCATTGGCTTCGGGAAGCTGTAGGTGCCCCTGCTAAACCGCCAGATCCTGAACTGCCGCCTACTGTTTCAGCAATTGCTCAATCAGTTCGCTTACTATATGGGGAAGATAAACCAACCATTCCTCCATTTGAGATACCGGCACCACCTCCTCCCCAACCAAAGGATCCAAGACGTAGTCTAAAAAAGAAGAAGAAGCGGAAGTCGCATATGCATTGGGACAGTGCTGGGAGCAGCCAGATGTTTCAAAGTGGCCTCCCTAATAACAATGCTGCTTCAAGTTCTATTCTTCCGGTTCCACCATTTCAAATGCCCCCGCAACATATTACTGGAACTCCAGGGCTTCCTTCAGCAGAATCTGACCTTAATTTGCATCCTCTCAATTTAAATATGATGAACCCACCGTCTTCTTCGGCATACCTAATCCCCCCAAAGAAAACGAGCTCAGGACTGTCCCCCTCTCCAGAAGTGCTTCAACTGGTAGCATCTTGTGTTGCTCCAGGCCCGCATTTGCCATCAGTTTCAGGCATTTCAAGCTCAAGCTTCCTTGAGAGCAAGTTCCCATTGCCGAAATCTTCCGACCAAGTTGACCTACCAGACCGACAAGGTTCACCCGAAACTATGAAAGCTGAACAGAGCTCACCCATTAACGATGATCGGCTCCAACTGGAACAACAAGAACAGCAAGATAGTGGTGAATCCAGCAAGACGCAATCAGACCCTTGTCGAACTGAACAGCCTGATGTCGAGGAAATATCCTCTGAGGGAACTCTGTCAGATCATCCTGTGAGTGACGATGAACCCTAGCCCTTCATAAATGAGTGAAAAAATAGGACAGTACTATTCTTTCATCCTGCTACTGGAGTTTCCAGGCTTTTCAATGATCTGCGCGAATTTTTGTAGCCATGGTGCAGAGTGATGAATTAGGACATATAGGATCATTTAGGACTCTTCTCGTGTAAAGTTTCTGTAACAGAAAAATGAAATATATAGTGTTGCCTGGTTGATATTTGCTTCTATCATTTTACAGCTCCTTCATGGCTTTATGCACAGGTTTCAACAATTTTTGGTGGCTGCTAATGGCCAGTTACTATTGAGAACAAAACGGTTGCATGTACAGTAAAAGGTAGATTGATAATATTTATTAAATCATAATAGCATAAATTTTAACGGTTTATGGTAAAATGGTAATTTGGTAATATTTAATAAATCATAATAACATATGCACTTGGTTCATTATTATGATACTTTTTAGAATAATATTTTGAAAAAAAGTAAAATTGTGTGATTATTACTTATTAGGATGTAGAATTTGGAAATTAACAAAAATACCTCTCTAAGTTTGTTTATTTACTAAACGCCCATATAATAAAATATTAAAAATTAATAAAAACACTTTCATCCACTAATTAAATACCGACAGTCAACCATCACCGTCGAAGGGTGGTTGGAGTCGTCGTATCGATGCACGATTGGTTGGATCTGGCCGGTTGTGCATCGATATGACATTTTCTTGTAAGATCCACGGTGGATATGGTCGGAAAATGTCAGATCTACTGCTAATGGCTAGATCTGACTGCATCAATGACGACCAAAGATATGACTATTGTTGACGACTTGCTACGGTTAAAGATCTGACCGTTAATAGCCAGATCTTTGGCCGTAGATCTGGTATTTTTCAACTAGATTCACCGTGGATTTGGCTAGAAAATGCTAGATTGGCGCACTACCGGCTAGATCCAGCCGACAGTGCGCCATTATATCAGATTTCGGCCAGCTTCTGAGGGTGGTGGCTAGAATCTGACAAATGTGGGTTGCTGGGGTGTTTTTGTCAATTTCTAAAAAAAAATTTGGGGGTGTTTAAAAAGAATTGAATACAAATCTAGGGTTTAAAAAAAATGAATAATATAGAATAATATTTTGAGAGTAAGAAAATAAATGTGTATTTTAGATAGATTAGGGAATAGAGTAGTGAAAATTTGTGTACCAAAGGGGCCCTAAATTTTAACAGTTTATGGTAAAAGTGTAATTTGATAATATTTATTAAATGATAACAACATAAATTTTAAAGGTTTATTAACAGCACATTAATGGAAGATGAATTTTTGTTATTTTGAAAACTATTGGGGAATTAATGTCATTACCTCTTCTCCTTATATAAATTGGTAAATATAAAATTAGAAATTCTTCTTTATTTATTTTACCAATCAATCGATGACTTCTTGTAAATAGGTTAATAGGTTCATTGCTCAGACTCAAAATATGATTAATCCGATATGGGTTACATGAAACCCGTTACGGTTCAAAAATTGGTACTATTGGTCGGGTGAAATTTTTTTGTGGGTTTGGAGCTGTGGTCGGTATGATCCGAAATGATATATACGTACAACTCCATGAATTTATTTTTTTTCTTTTTGAGTAAACAATTTATATTTTTCATGCAATTAAATATAAAGTTGTCTGCCATAATATAATTAATTATTTGAATTAAATATATATATATATTAATATTATTTTATTGCTCGAAATTGGTATAAGCTCATTTGCACATGCGATCCAGCATTTCTCTCTCTCTTTACACACACAATTAATTAATTAATTAAACTTGATTAATTAATTAATTAATTAATTATATTGTACTTTTAATCTCTATTCAATGAATATAATATATTCATTTTCAACTGCCCTTCACTAACAAACAAGATTAATTTCATCAACCATCTTTCAAACCCTCTTTTTTCTTTTTAATTTTAATATATTAAGAATTAAATAATAAATTTGTAATATATAACCATATGTCCATATTCATAATATAACCTCGATAAAAATTATAATAAAAAAAATTAAATAAATTCCAGTATATTTAATTTCTCAAGTAACCAAAACAAAGAAGATGGATCATTCCAACCTTCCACCAAAATTTATATACCTTACAAAAAGTATAAGAAAAAAAAAAAGGTCGTGATTACATAAAACGTTGGTTTTAATGTTATAAGTTTCACGTTGGACGTCGATATCAGTCTCGATATTGTAACCAAAAACCCTAAAAAATGGTGGTTAGGACTGCGAGGTTGGAGAGGAAGAGGGCTTTGAGGTGGCGACGAACCTTGAAGAGAAAGCGTAGAATTTGTAGTAATAATCTTCGTCGTCAACGAGGCTACCGGAGCCGGTGGTATCAAAGTTGAGAGAATAGCTCAAAGGGTCGTAGTGGCATTGGAATGAAGAGGAAGGTGGTCTGGTTCTGGAGGTGGAGAGGTTTGAATGGTGCAGCATTTTGGCGCCATGTTTCTTGAGCTTTTTGACGAGTTTAGAGAGGGTTTTCTTGCTCATGCAGCAGCAGTTTGAGTCCTTTTGTGAGGCAGCGGAGGTGGCGACGGAGGTGTTAGTGGAGGTGGTGCTTGTGGTGGCGGTGGTTTTTGGCCACCAGAGAAGCCACATTTCAACCATCATCTTCAGACTCTTCACTCTCTCTCTCTCTCTCTCTCTCTCTCTCTCTCTCTCTCTCTCTCTCTCTCTCTCTCTCTCTCTCTCAGTGGGTTGAGTTGAAAAGTTGGTAGTTTGTGAGAGTGTGGAAAGGTGAATGAAAGGTTCATTTATAGAGATTTGAGTGCGTGATTTGCACGGCTGAGGGAGAGCGTGGAGCTTGTTTTATTGGTTTCGTTACGAGAAAACCGAAAGTAAGGCAGGTTGTAAATAAAAACAACCACGGGTGGTAGCCGACGGTAAAAATAAAAAAAAGTTTTACGAACTTTAAGTTTGAGTATTCTATATATTATTATAAGGGTGGTTATTATGACTTTTATCAGATCAACAATTCAGAATTTAAAAGATTATTTAAAGTACGCATAAATTGATTCAAACATTCTCGATGATAAAAAAATGAAAAAAGATTATATATAAAAAATTTGTAAACTTATAACGTAACAATTATAAAATATATTTATACATTATTATACAATAAAAAAAGTCGGAAATCATATCATCCATACCTCTATCTAATGATATACTGTTATATGTGTATATATTTTTATTTCTGTCTAATTACTATTATTATTTGTTGATATTTACATAGATCATTAACAAATAAATACTTCTTAGGTTAGTTTATAAGTTCTACGTACTATTAACTAATAAGACACGTTCAGGTATATAACACTTTCGTAAAGTCTAAAAGCAAATATCTAAGATAAACGATGTTTACCTAAAGCTCGCGATATATGATTCATGTTCAATTGAGTTCAAACAAACATCGAAGGAGTAAGACATCATTTGATTAAATATAAAAAAAAAATTATTAATAGCAATTTATCCTGATCTAAAGATTTGAATATAGATTATTTTATAAATTTTAAAACCGTTGTCAAATACTTTTTCATAAATAATTTTATTAACAATACTCACCACCATTTTATCCTAAAAATACTCAGAAAAGCACTTTTTATTGTAGAAGCACTTCTAACGACAAATTTATTGATTAATTAATGAGATTTAATTCGGTGCCTAATGATAACCATCAATGGATTAATCAGATGTCATAGCTGACATTTTCTGAATGGGCAAGGGTACGATCGTCAATTCGACAAGAAATGATGCAAGGCAGTGAATACATCTTCTTACCTAATGTATTTCAGGCCAGCTGTACGGTGATCAGAAATAAAACAGAGAAGATTGATCACATGGGTCCCAATTATATATCGTCTTAAACTATGGTGATTTTTTAGCTGTATAAATCAATCATAGGGCCATCCAACATGCCACGTGGCTTGATCATATGCAGTGGGCCCACACTTGTGTTTTATGGATTTATTTAATATCATTTGATTAATAATGTTATAAAATCGATAAAAGTGTCTGAGTCAACGTGTGTTCACCTCAACCAATTTTTGATGTCCTCTACTAAAATGATGGATTTTAGATGGGGAATCAAATTTATGATCGTGCATCTATTTATATTATCCTCGATTTACTCTAACCATCTAGACTATTTACGAATGACTTATATATATATATATATATATATGACATATTCAATTATTTTGAAAGAAAGTATATTCAAGTCATATTCTTCTCAATTTAGGGTTCATTTAGATATGCTCAACCTGAATCAACCCTTTGTCATTTCCGATGTGACCAAGAGATTCAAGCTTATGGAAGCAGTGACACCAATTCTAACATTTTTGTTTTTTTTGTTTTTTTGATGACCCAGGGTATCGGGTCAGTTTACGTGTACTTCAACTATTCTTCCAAGATCTTGTAACAGGAACTATCAGTTAGATAAGAGCATCAGTGGTTATCTCTATTAGCATCTAAAGAAGGACTTGAATTTAAGATTTTTTAAGTAATACACTCAAGAGTTCTATCAAACCTTCGACCACCCAGAAGATGTTATCTATGTATATCTGTTTAATAAAATCTGGTTAAACTAAACCGTAATTTGGAATCATTATCCAATGTGACGAAGAGAGTCTCCAAGTCAATGGGATTGGATCGCAATGGGTAAAAGAAGTGTGGACACAGAGAAATCACATGGGTGCTCAGAATTAAGTCAGAACAAAATATAAGAAGTAATAAGGGAGAAAGAGGAAGAAGACGAAGAAGAAGAAGCTGCAGCACATGGGCATAGTTTGAAATGGAGGAAATAGACATTCACTTGGAGACATGAAATGAAGGTAAAAACATTAAAGCTTTAAACAAGAAAACATTTATTCTTTTATTTTTTAAAGTCTGCAAATAAATCTCTGAAAAAGTCTGCCATTTTCATAAGCCTTCAGCCTTCTTGTGATGGATGACTGATCATATCCACTCCACCCTCAAATAATTAAACTGTCCTCTCTTTATATCTATACGGGATCTTATTTTATGCTTCAGAAAAACGAATCAAACTTACTCTTGGCTTTATTCAAATCATAATCCCACTCATTTCTCTTACTTCTTTTTATCATTATACCTTCACATAAACCTAACTTAAAAAAATAATTTCTAAATAGATAAATTAATTAGTTTTGTAAACATTAAAAGATAATTTTTAATAAAAAAGAAAAAGAAAAAGAAAATTGCATCGATTAACTATAAAATTTTAGATTTTAATATAAGAGTAATACTATATTTACAACCCAATCTCACAAACTTTTTCTCATAACATTGAAATGACAACTCACAATTGGTCATAAAAACATTCCTCCTAGAGTAGCTGTTAATACGAATAACAGAAAGTATGTTATAACCATTTCAGTACGTTCAATGTACTCCACAGATAGAGGAATACATGAAGTTGAACATAGTAAAATAAGAAATTGAAAGATTTTGTTGAAATTGTTCGTTTGGAAATTTCCCGAAAAGCTAATCATAGGTTCTTCTCTACATCAGAACAATAGGGCTGTTATGCTCATTACTAAACTTGTTGAAGAGATGAAATAGAACCAAGGTATATCATTCAGGGCAGAATCAGACATTGACTGGAGCTGTCCAACTTGTAATGGGTTTCGCTTGTCCAATTGCTGTCACGACAAAGTTGTGAGAGAAAGTTTGTAAGATTGGATTGTGGACCAATCTTTATTATTAATATAAACCGAAAATAGTAAAAAACATATATAAATATCTTCATTAGCGAACTTTCGTCGATTCTAAAAAAGATTGATGTAAAGCGAAGATACTAAAATACATATATAAACATCTTCATTAGAGAACTTTCGTCAATGACCGACATAAACTGGAGATACAAAAAAAAACATATATAAACATCTTCACAAGAGAACTTTCGCCAATTCTGAATAAGATTGGGTATGGTAAATGGGTAGAGCTCAAGGAAGGAGTCCCATAGTGTGAGACAAACGTGGCTTTAATTTGATAAACTGGTTTGAGTAATTCATTTTCAAAAACTAATTCAAAGAAAAAGGGAATCCAACTACATATATACACTAAAACAGTCTATCAATTTGACTATGTGGGAGAAATAAGACTTTTAAAAAATAAAATTTTAACCTATATATCTTATTGGATACTCAAATATGAGGTAGAATTTGAATTGAAAGTAGAAGACAAAAAATGCTTTAAAATCAAATGTACTTTTAATGACAAAATATTAATCAAGCACATTAGCCAAGAACGGTATAGTTGTCTTTGGATTCATTATATTTATATTATAAAGTATTTATAATATATGCTTTAATTATTATTTTGTGTCTCAAAATAGATTGCTTGTAAAGAGGATTTTGGCTCTACTTTTAGCTAGTCAAACTCGAACATATCTACCTAACAAATTTCCCATTCTCTGTCTCCACCTAATCCAGGATTCCTTTTGCCCTTTTCAAAAACCCTTTCTCAAAATCTCTCAATTATTCAGGAAAAATATCTTCGACAACGAATATAGTATATATAATCAGCCAAAGACGACGTATGAGATATTTTATCTCTAGTATTAAGTTACTTCGACTACATTATCCAGTCAATATCATATAGCAAATGCTCTAAAGCGAATAAAAAGATGAAAACATATTAAAACTTTGGTGCGTCGTTAAGTAAACGACTAATTGTTAGCTTTTAGTTCATACATGTATTTAAGGTACGTTTGATTCAGAGAATATTATATTATTAAGAATGTTATATTAATGAAGAGATACCTTGAAGATTATTGTGAATGTTTAAAGAAATATGCTTGGTTAAGTTAAAATAAATTGGTGGATATGTTATATAGATTATTAAATTGTTCTCATTTTTAGATATTAATGTTATATTATTTTTTGAATCATTTTTTGAATCTCTTACATTTGAGATTTTGTTAAAACACCATAACCACATAAAAGTTTAATTTCTAGTAAAATCACCCCCACTCACCCCAAGCCACTACCCACTACTAGCCGTCAGCCACTATCGTTAGCCATGATGATAGTGATCGGAACGGAGCACGACCGACTAGATCTGATCGAAAACGGCCAGATGACCGTATATTTGGTCGAAAACAACCAGATCTACGGCCATCCGACGTTTATGGTCACTGATCTAGCTGAAAATGGCCACATCGGCTCACGACCAACCAGATTCGATTGGTCGTGCACCTTTCTGACAATGTCAGCCAGTAGTGGTGGTTGGCGGACGATAACGGTCCTAGGTGGCTTGCAATTTGTTTTAAATACGAGGGCATTACTATCCAAAACAGTTAATTAATTAGGGGTAAAATTGTAATGGCTGGTTCATGTAATTTAATTTCTAAATAAGAGCATTTTTGTCCTGAAATTAGGGTCAAATTGTAACAAAATAAGATTTTCAAGTAATTTCAAAATACATAAGAAAATGATGGTATTCAAATTACCACTTATATAACTAAGAGTAATTAATATTGATTTTGGAAAACTACTTAAATCTTATATTACTTGACAACTAAACGTGATAATTTAAATAATATAAGATAACATTACTTCATTAATGGAGGATTACCCCAACCTCCTCAAAGTTAAAATATATTACTAATAGATATTATCGAGCCAAC